AAGGGGCGCCTGGGTGGCTAAGTTGTTAAGTGTCTGCCTTCGGCTCAGGTCATGATCCCAGGGTCCTGGGATTGAGCCCTGCATCGGGCTCCCTGCTCAGTGGGAAGCCTGCTTCTGTCTCTCCCACTGCTTGTGTTCCCTCTCTCACTGTCTCTCTCTCTCGTCAAATAAATAAAATATTAAAAAAAAAACAGACCCAAAAAACAAAAACCAACTACAAGACATTAATGCAAAAAATTGAAGACACAAATATATGGAAAAATATTTCATGCTCATGGATTGGAAGAATCAATATTATTAAAATGTCTATACTACCCAAAGCAATCTTAAGTTTCAGTGTAATCTCTACCAAAATTCCAATGGCATTTTTCATGGAAATAGAACAATCCTAAAAAAAAAAGAAAAAAATCCTAAAATTTGTATGGAACAATAAAAAACCCTGAATAGCTAAAGCAATTTTTTGAAAGAAGAACAAAGCTGGAAACTTTGTTTCCCTAATTTCACACTCCCTGATTTCAAACTATTACAAATCTATAGTAATTAAAACAATATGGTATTGGCATTAAAAACGACACAGATCAATAGAACAGAATAGAGAGCCCCGAAATAAACCCATGCATATACAGTCAATTATAAAAGGAGCCAAGAATATGTGATGGAGAAAGGACAGTCCCTTTAGTAAATGGTCTTAGGAAAATTGGACAGCCACGTGCAAAAGAATGAAACTAGACCACTATCTTACAATATGCACAAAAATTAAATCAAAATGAATTAAATACTTGAATGTAAGACCTGAAAGCATAAAATTGCTAGAAGCAAACATAGATGGTAAGATCCTTGACATAGGTCTTGGTGATGATTTTTTTTTTTTTAATAGAGTGTGCATGTGTGAACGGAGGGGCGGGGGGAGGGCTAGAGGGAGAGAGAGAATCTTTTTTTTTTTTTTTAAGATTTTATTTATTTGACAGAGAGAGACACAGCGGGAAAGGGAACACAAGCAGGGGGAGCGGGAGAGGGAGAAACAGGCTTCCCGCTGAGCAGGGAGCCCGATGTGGGGCTGGAACCCAGGACCCTGGGATCATGACCTGAGCTGAAGGCAGACGCTTAATGAATGAGCCACGCAGGCGCCCCAGGAGAGAGAGAATCTTAAGCAGGCTCCACGCTTAGTGCAGAGCCTGTTGCAGGGCTCGATCTCAAGACCCTGAGATCATGACCCGAGCCAAAATCAAGAGTCGCACACTTAACTGACTGAGCCACCCAGGCTCCCCTTAGCGATGATTTTTTGAATCTGACACCAAAAGCAAAAGCAACAAAAGCAAAATAATCAAGTGGGACTACATCAAACTGAAAAGCTTCTGCACAGCAAAGGAAACAATCAACAAAATGAAAGCTCAACCTACTGAATGGGACAAAATATTTGCAAATCATATCTCTAATAAGGGCCTGATATCCAAAATATATAAAGAACTCAACTCAGTAGTGAAAACCCAAAGAATCCAATTAAAAAATGGGCAGAGGGTCTAGACATTTTTCCAAAGAAGACACATAGATGGCCAATAGGTTCATGGAAAGGTGCTCAACATCACTAATCATCAGGGAAATGCAAATGAAAACCACAAGGAGCTATCACCTCACACCTGTTAGAATGACTTATCAAAAAGAGAAGAAATAAATGTTGGTGAGGACATGGAGCAAAGGGAGCTCTTATGCACCATTGATGGGAATGTGAATCGGTGCAGTGGCTGTGGAAAACAGTATGGAGGATCCTCAAAAAATTAAAAATCGAGCTACTACATGATCTGGCAATTCCACTCCTAGATATTTATTTGAAGAAAATGAAAACACTGATTCAAAAAGATATATGCACCCCCATGTTCGTTGCTGCATTATTTACAGTGCGAGACATGTAAGCGGCCAGTGTCCATTCGTGGATAGATAAATGGATAAAGAAATTGGGGTATACCCCTCCCCTCACACACAGAATATTACTTAGCCATAAAAGACTGAAAGTTTGCCATTTGCGATAACATGAACAGAACTTGAGAGTATTGTGCTACGTGAACTAAGAGAGAGAAAGACAAATACTGTATGATCTCTCTTATATGTTATGTGGAATCTAGACAAAAAAATATAATTAAGCTCATAGATACAGAGAACAGATTGGTGGTTGCCAGAGGCAGGGCGTGGTGGGAGTAAGAGAAATGGGTGAACATTTTTTCTTTTTTAGTTTAAATAAATTGAATAAAAACAATGATAATTTTATTGTTCAACAAACAACACCTAAAAACTCCTTCAGATGCAGAGATTAATTAAATATGATTATTAAAATGTCAAAAGCAAATTCTAGTCCTATAAACTGGCATGAAATTTAACAAAATGTTAATCTAATTATATTTAAGTGACATAAAAATACCAGCTTTTTGAATATTGCGTATTTATATGGAAAAATCAAGAAATGGAGATTTAAGCAAACAAAAGTAAATAATAATCGAGCCAGAACCCCAACTCCCAAAGATCCTAAGTTTCAACCTAGAAGTATTCTTCCATGGGGTGCCTGGGTGGCGCAGTCCATTAAGTGACTGACTCTTGGTTTCTGCTCAGGTCATGATCTCAGGGTTGTGAGATGGAGCCCAGTGTTGGGCTCTGTGCTCAGTGCAGAGTCTGCTTAAGTTTCTCTCTCTCTCCTCTCTCTCTGCCCATCCTGCTCGTGTTTTTTTTCCTCTCTCTCTCTCAAATTAAAAAAAAAAAAAGTATTCTTCCAGATTTTTGCCTGTGTGTGTAAATATTCAAGAGGAAAATTAAAAAAAAAGATTTTATTTATTTGTCAGAGAGAGAGAGAGAGAGAGAGAGAGAGCACAAGCAGGGGGAGGGGACAAGGGATAAGCAGGCTCCCTGCTGAGCAAGGAGCCGGAGGAAGGACTCGATCCCAGGACCCTGGGATCATGACCTGAGCTGAAGGCAGATTCTTAACCGACTGAGGCACCCAGGCATCCCCAAAAGGAAATATTTTAAATGTATAATTATACATATAGACATATATACATACAAATATAAAACCTGCATTTTTTCCGTAACAATAGGATGTAAACAGTTGTATACATCAGTACATATGCTTCTGTAACATCATCTTTATAATAAGAAAAAGGTGAAGGGGCACCTGGGTGGTGCAGTCAGTTGAGGGACTGACTCTTGGTTTTGGCTCAGGTTATGATCTCAGGGTCCTGGGACTTAGCCCTGGGTCAGGCCTCACGTGCAGCATGGAGTCTGCTTCTCTCTCTCTCTCCCTCTGCCCCTTCCCCCTGCCCCCCTCACTTGCATGTGCTCTCTCTCTCAAATAAATAAATTAATTTAAAAAATTAACAAAAAAGAAGTGAAATTTGGGCACAGACACATAGAGAGGGAGGAAATGGTGTGAAGATGCAGGCAGAGATTCAGGGATTGGAGTGATGCTTCTATAAACCAAGATTATGTATATATATATATATATATAGGTTACCAAAGATTACCAGTAAACCACCAAAAGCTGGGGGACAGGCACGGAAGGAATTCTTCTTCACAGCCCTTACTCAGAAGGAACCAATTTTGCTGACACTCTGATCTCAAAGGTCTAGTCTCCAGGTCTGTGGGACAATAAATCGTTCAAACTAGCTAGTTGGTTTAAACTTTCTTTGTTAGGGCAGCCCTAATAAACTGATACAGATGGTTCTGCAGACTGATTCACGTTGTGAAGCCAGATGAATTACCTCGTAGTCCTGTCTGTGACCAGATTATCTGTAATCCCTAGATCTAGTCTTTGTCCCTTTGGCAGTACTAGAAAACTGCTCCCCAAGTTTGGGCCTTTGGGTTTCCTTTTCCTAAATCCAAGAACATCTTCTTTGCTCCATTTATACTCTCTTTCTTCTCGTGGATTAGGACCATTTATTATATCTCAGTTCTCTTCATCATACTTGTTAAGTCTCATAGTACACCTGTGTTGCTCCTGCCAACTATTTATATATACACCTCAGACTAGTGAAGGAGATTTATTTTTTTCTTAAATTTTATTTATTTATTTGATAGAGACAGACACAACGAGAGAAGGAACACAGGCAGGGGGAGTGGGAGAGGGAGAAGCAGGCTTCCCGTGGAGCAGGGAGCCCCATGCGGGGCTCGATCCCAGGACCCCGGGATCATGGCCTGAGCCAAAGGCGGATGCTTAACCACTGAGCCACCCAGGCTCCCCGAAGAAGGAGATTTATGATCCCTGCCCTTTGAAATTTTGATTTGTAAGTTTGTGGTTGGATCCAAGAACCATCATTTTTAATAAGCACCACAGGTGCTGTTCACCTTACCGATTGTTTATTGATTCATATCAGTTTCTTTCTTAGAGCATAATTGAAATTCCAAACTTTGGAGACACCCAGCATAGTCCAACTTTGGTAGGTCCTACTCCTAACTTTATGGCCTTAGGCATTTCCCCTGCTAAGAGTTCGGAAGTAGATGGGGTGTCAGAGCCAGTCCCATTGATTCATTGATTCTTTGATTCATTCGTTTGTTCAACAAAGTTTTTGGCACCTGCATCAGTGAAACAAATAGACACAAGTCCCTTACATTCTAACTAGGAGGAAAGAGCCAGTAAATCGATAAATACACTAGGTGGGCAGTACTGTAGAAAAAAATAAGCTGGGTAGGGAGGTTGTGAGTGCAGAGTGTATTGCGGTTTTCAGTGGGCCATCCTGGGTGGGCCTCATTGGCAGAGTGACTGGAGAGTGAGCCATGTGGCTCTCCAGAAGCTGAGTGTCCCAGGCAAAGAGGACAGCCAGTCTAACGTCCCTGGTCAGAAGCTGAGTACATCTGGCATGAGAAAGGGAGTGGCGTGACAGGGGCTGAGGTCTGAAAGGGTACGGGGAGCCAGGTCATGCGTTTATAGGGCATTGCGAGGTCATTGGCTTATACTCACGTGAGATGGGGAGCCACTGGAAGATTCTGAGCAGTGACATGATCTGACTTACATTTTTAAGGTATCACCCAGGCTGCTACAGGGGGAATAGGAGCAGAAACAGGCAGACAACTCTGGTAATACAGGTGAGATGTTGATGGCTGGGAACGGGGTGGTAGCGGCGGATATGGGGAGAGGTGGTTGGATGCTGTATATGTTTTGAAGGCAGAACCAATCATTTTCCGACTGATTAGATGTGAATGTTGGAGAAGAGAGATATCAATGAGGACCCTAATCAGGGTGAATCTTGGAATTTTTTGCTTGGAATGCTGAGCAGAAGCATCCCCAAATAAGGAAGCGCATGGTCCACATGTTGCTGGCAGCCATCCTGTGTTCATGAGGAGATCCAACCTGAGAGCGGAGCCAGTGCTGTGTTGGGCAGGGCAGAGTGGCAGGAAGAAATTGTCCTGAGGGCAGTGCTGAGCCAGAGTCCACACCTGAAGCCTGATCCACCTCTGCACTTCTAGTTACAAGAGCCAGTGAGTCCCCTTTGTTACTTTCTTATTTGCATCCCAAACTGCTGACTGGGAGATGTCTTTCAGATGCACTGTTTGCCTAAAGGAACTTTTTACAGCCCTATCAGAGCTACCCTCCAGACCTCAGGGGTAACTTTCTCCAAATGTTCTCTCTCATGCCTCTCCCATCTCATCGGTCCCTTGGTACATTGTCATCCCCTTAAGTTAAGGGTCTTGACTCAGGAGCAGGCCCAGACAGAGCTGGCATGGCAGAAAGTCTGAAGTGATTAGCCCAACATCCCTGTTAGTAGCAGTAGTATTAGCTGTGCCTGCATTTAACAGAGTTGAGAGTGGAGATTAGGGGGCTTACCCAAGATCAGAAAATTTTCTATTTCAAATCCAAGATTAGTTTGTCTAATTAGCCGGTCACAATCCATGTGTCACAGAGAAGAGAGAAGAGCTTTTCAGGAGGAGGCCACCTGGCTGGTTGCTTCACTGACTGGCAGTATATCGGGACAGATAACACAGATCTGATACTTAGCTTTACAGATGCAATAATTATTGGGCCCTTCACTCAGGGTGATTAAGCTGAGAGGGATTAATTCATCATAGTCAAACTTAAAAGAGACTGATGTATAAATCAGCTTGTCATGTTTTTTATAATAGGAAATGTTTTTCAGACTTGAACTTGTGGACCCTTGAATATATCCCCATTTGAGAAATATTGCTTTCATACTTACATTATGAGACTTTAGGTGATCACCTGATTGAAATAATCATAAAGGTAAATCCAGTCTGGGTATTGGTATTACATGGCATTACTCTGTAAAAAGGTGGTGATCCAGGTGATGCTTGTGTTAAAATTTTTATGTATCTTTCAAATGAAAACACAGCATTTAAAGATTACCCTAAGGAATCCATGGACCTCTGAATATTTGATTAAAGACTCCAATATGAAAAACAATGCAATAGGAGAAAGGCTTTGTTTGAACATTGGGGCCGGTTATGTATACAGGATGCTCTAAAGCAAGTCTACTCAGGAAACCGGATTGTAGATCTGAAGGCAGATTGTTGGGTGTAGAATCAGGGCAGAGGCAGTTGGCTGTTCTCAGGGAACATGGCCCTTGGACAAGGGGAGCTAGTTATCCCATCTGTACTTATCCTACAAGTACTTACGTTTAAGACGACCAGTCATGGAGAACAGAGTCCCATCTTTCTTGCATTATGGTAGAGAGGCACTGACAAATTATTATTCACTAACTTCCTTTTTCCTAGACTCATCTTGAATCCATGAACCCTCCCTGCCAATGCATCATTTCTAGGTAAATAGGAAGTGTGCTCTCTTCCTCACAAGGAAGGAGCTTGGACCCGATTGGTGGAATGCCAAAGCCCATGCACACTCTTTCCAGTTAGCATGTAGCTAGTTTCTATCACTGAACTAAAATTATGAGGGACCCTTATATTCTATAGGAGACAGTAAAAGCAACTTTTATTTATTTATTTATTTTTAAGATTTTATTTATTCATTTGCGAGAGAGACAGAGAGAGCACAAGCAGGGGGAGAGGCAGAGGGAGAGGGAGAAGTAGACTCCCTGTTGAGCAGGGAGCCCGATGTGGGACTTGATCCCAGGACCCTGGGATCATGACCTGAGCCGAAGGCAGACGCTTAACCGTCTGAGCCACCCAGGCACCCCAGTAAAAGCAACTTTCAAAAAAAAAAATCTTTTCCAATGTAGTCTACACCAGAATCTGAGAAGCCATCATTCTTCTCAAATGACTTCACCCTGTGTTCTTCGCCTACTCATATTTTAGATCTGCCTTTAACAAACCCTCCCCTTTCCCACCTCCAGCCTCAACTGAGGAACTGGGGAGCACTCATAGCGCATTGTCACATACTCCCTCCTAGCTTTGGAACCAGACTGGACTAGAGCCAGACTCAGTGCTGGGCTGCCTCCAAGCGGGCTAGAGAATGCATCCTGTTCCCAGGCAGCCATTCCAAGGGCAGCGTTCAATCGCCAGTTCTTCCCTGGCCCATCAGAGCCCAGCAAAAGCATGTAATCCCTTAGGCCATTTGGCCAATGCCTGCCTGTTCTCTAGTAGGGTCAGAAGTAGGGGGAGGGGTGCCTGGGAGGCAATGAAAAATGAGAAGGCTCCCAGGGAGCAGTGCTCTGGAGTATATTCAGTCCTTAACACTAAGCCAGTGTTAGGTTTACCGGTCAGTGCCTAGGCCATACCAGTTGTTAAATATTTTGTATATCAGCCCTGCATCTAAGACAGGCAGCACTCAACCAAATGGCGTTGAAGAAACTGGATTCAAATGCATGGTACAGCAGTAAGACATTGCCATTGTGTGCGAGGCCCGGGTTAGGTGTATTGAGGCCGACGCTAGAGGGCGGGGAAGTTGGGTGTTGCTGGAAGCTGGAAATCAGGGAATGATATCACCTTCCGTTAATTACTTGTATAACCTTGGGCAAAAGAGCACCTGGGTTCCAGTTCTGGTGATCCCATCCTGAGCAAATCACTTCATCTTGTCACAGTTAATTCATCTACACAATAGCAGCATGGTTGAGGTGATAGACACAGCGTTGCTTGGTGCAGGTAGGAAGTCAGGAATGCAGGCTTGAGAATGGATAGGGCAGGGATAGTGTTTATTTCTAGGTGGAGCCTTCCTAGGAAGAAAGCATCCATTTTCTTCCTGTGCTTTAACAGGATGTAGTTAGTAGTTCTAGACTAGGCTGTGGAGTTGAGCATCTGGAAAAAGATGGAAATCATAAACAGGTATATTCAACATCAACCTGATCATTTGCCCAAGAGTCTCAGCATTTTTGCGCCAAGCAGGATGTGTCTCTTGTTGAGTCAAATCACAATTAAACCACGCTTCTTTTTTCTTTGTAAAAACAATTTTTTCTTGTCATTTAAGTTCTTTCTTATTTCTCTTCTGAAAGGGCTCATGTCACGCAGCCACATGTGACATTGCCATCTGAGCACAGAGTAGGCATGGTTTAGTTCACTATCACTGCTTTTAGTACGTGGTGTAAACAAACAAAAAAAGAATCCTTTGTTGGTTATATTTTTTTCTGGTAAGTAGAATTGCTTAATAGAAGAAAAGGAACTAGAGCAACTGTTACTAAATGACCCAAAAGCAGAAGTTGAGTTCATTTCACATGAGTATTCAAGTGTTTCAGCCACGTATTCTGGTCTCGGCAGCTCGGAATTGGGGAAGGCCTGAACTGTGTTGTGTAGTCAGAAGTGAAGGTCTGTGAGCCACCAGAGGAAAGTGGGCAAGAGGTAGACGTGTGGGGGTAGTAGTGTTGGGGGTGAATCTTGGAGCAGAACCACTCAGCATGAGCCCCCCTCAGAAACCGAGTTATAATCACGTAACAGATACACGCTGCATATTTTCTAATTTCTCAGAACACGTTGTGTTTCAGGAACTTTGTCGAAACTGGCTCTGTGCAAGACCAAACCCCTGACTGGCTGAACAGTAAGATAATTTTCTAGATTGGGGAGCCATTTGGCATCTGAAAGTCTTGAAAATACCCGTATTATGAAATAGCTTAGAGTCTGGGACAGAGGTTACGGTTTTAACAATATGCACTTAAATGTGAATTGTTATCATTGGTTGGACAGATATCAAATTTATCCAACACAGAGTTCCCAGCCTCTTTTATCCCCATAAAAGCCATAAGTATAGGGCCAAGTGGGAAATAAAGGTTGCTGGGTGAGTGGTAAAACAGCCGATTGTTTCTCTGGCAAAGGGAATTTTCACAACTCGTTCATGTGCCGCTGAATTAACGCAAAGACTTGCTGTTGGCTATTAATTACCCCCTACACAAATTTGGTATCTGTTTTTCATCCTGATAAAAGAGCAGTTGTGATTGTAGTTCTCAGAGGAAGAATGGTACCCGACAGAGAACGGCCCTGCCAGGTAGGGCCAGAGTTTTCACAGGGGGAGGTTTGTTACACAGAAAGAATTTGGGGGTAGTATTTTATCACATTCTACCTCAGAAAATTAAGTTTTTCTGATTGCTTTTGTTGTTAAAACGCAAGTGTAGTAAATATCTGCAAGGCTCTCATTTCTGCGTACTCCGTGCCGAATGCACTGTGAGGTTCCCCCAAAAGGAGAAGGCTCTGCCTTTGTTCTCAACATGTTTGCCGTCTGGCTGGGATGGCGGGGGGGGGGGGGGGGGGGGGGGGGGGGGGGGGGGGGGAGCAGGGGCGTGATCGTGGTGGGTAACAACTTATATGTA